AATTGCTTATAGTTCATAAATTGATAATATTAATTGTTTTTTTAAAAAAACTTGGATAATATACGGTTCTCACGGAACCACCTAGTGTTTGAATAAGGCAAAAAAAAAAAATCAATATTTATGAATAGCAGAATAGGAGTTGAGTGATTAAACTAATACTATAATCTTTATGAATAGGAGTTGAGTGATTAAAGCAATACTATAAAATATAAAAGGTTAAATCAATATAAATGCTAAACCACTAAAATTAGAAAAGAATGTATTTATGTTAAATCCTAATAATAAAATTAAGAAATCAAAGGAAATTTGATTAATCCATAACTATTAATACCATGCTCGATCATTACCAAAGATTGAACCTAGATGAGAAAACATCCTCATTCATTGACATTCACCCACTAGACTATATTTCATTTATATCTTAATCGTGTGTGTATATATAGAGATAACCTCATGTAATTACACCATAGTGTCAACATCCTGACACCTTCTATCCTCATTATTGTTTAGTCGGTCTCAGGCGAGAACGTTTTTCCACATTTTTCAGGCTTTAAATTGAACCACTTATTATTGAATATCGGAAAAATGGGAAGGTTTCGGAGAGTGGCGGAGGCGTTTGATCATGTGGTTGCCAAAGTTAGGGATTGCGACAGCAGCGGCAGCGAGCACTCGCCGGAGACAATGAAGGATTTGTCTGATTTGGTAAATTCATATATTGAGAACGGCGATGGCGTAGTAGACAAAGATTTTGATACGAAAATCAACGATGAATGTAATTCTGATGAGATTGATGATGATACGGAGGAAGCTAAGGAATCACTGGAGACATTGTTTCGAACTCAAAAGGGTGATCCTGTGAAGAAAGATCTTCTTTTTGAAGTTGAAAAAGCATGGCGGCGCGTGATGGAAGTTAACTCATCGCTACCGGTGCTAGGATCTAAACGGCTGTTAATGGCTCGTCTCCGTGATCAGGGTCTTGACGCCGGTACTATTTTCTTTCCATTTTTCATATCTTTATATATTAGTTAAGAGTTAATCATGTAGTGATCATGATAAGAAATTCATATAATATACGCAGGTCTTTGCAAATCCAAGTGGGAAAAGAAAGGCCGGCTTATCTCCGGTGAATACCAATACGTCGACGTTAATGTCGCCGGAACTCGTTACATAGTCACCATATCTCTCTCAGAAGAATTCGAGACAGCCCGGCCTACTGATAACTACAATTCGTTGCTCGAGATTCTCCCTCAAATTTCAGTTTGCAAAGTGGAGGAGATGAAAGAGGTGGTGAGAATAATGTGCAGAGCTGTTAAGAAGACGATGAACCAAAGAAAAATGGCGGTGCCACCATGGAAGCGACGGGAGTACGTCCAAGCTAAATGGTTTGGTACTTACAAACGAACTACCAATGAGTTCTCTACTAAAAACACGTCAGATTTGAATGTAAATGAGAATAAAATCGAAGGGTTTATATGGACGCCTGAAACTTGCTGTCGTGGACGCACACACGATTTTGTTAGGAATGGATTTGGCTCGAAAATGGGCAGTTTGACCATGATAATGGACGGAGCATGATAAGGTAGTTTTGATATTTTGACTTATGAGTTGAAGTAATTATTAGCTACTATAAGATAAGATTGATTGTTAAATATGTTTTGGGGGGATTTTGACGTTAGATATCTCATTGTAAATTCATTTAGTTCATTCTTATGAGAACGTGGATGTAAAATAACCAATTTGGTTTTAAAATGGTTTAGTTCATTAGTTTCCGTACTTTTTTTTTTATAATGTTATTATATCTATATCTATAATTTATAATCTATAATATCTTTTAATTAAGGTCATCTAAATGAAAATGGTTCATGATAAGTCTTATTCTTACATCATATTCATTTGAAACACTCTTCCTTCAAAGTAATTAATCACTACAATTCAATAGTTTTAGTTATTAAGTTATTAACTTAGGATACTTATGACAACTATCTACAACTCTATTTTTTAACTCATGTTATTTAATTGTTACTTATTATAACTAATTTTCTAATATAAAATTATATATAATTAACATGTGTAGATTAGTAGAGGAACCATAAACTTTTGTAATGGGTACAAAAAAATTCTAGATAATGTTTCTAAGCACGAATAAAACTTTAACAATTTATCTGTTTATCTTCATAACCTTAGGCGAACTAACATGCATACTTACACTCACATCAAAACTAATTTGATGTATCGTTTCGAAGCTTGTTTTGTGGCTATTGGATGGGTGATATATATATATATATATATATATATATATATATATATATATATATATATATATTTTGCACTTTTCTATTGTTCTTTAGAATATATAATGTTTCTATATTTAAATTAATTCATTTTTGTTCCCAAAAGAATACACGTCCATGCATTCATAGGCTGCTTCTTATTGAACCTAGTTCCTCATGAGGTTAAGAGAAGCTCTGAGACAGGGTAGAGAAGTATCGTTCATAACAAATATGAACGATGTTGTTAGTTCTTGCATAGAGCATGTATTCCCTAATTCTTATCATGGGTATACTTCTAAAAGTGTGTTCAAGTATATGCGCACAAGAGGCGTCTCTGGCAGAACATTAAAACCTTTGTTCTGGATGACATCTAGCTCATATATTGTGTCTGATTTTGAAGAAAAGCTTTGTCGGCTGACCCCGATGCTCGTGAAATGCTTGCCAACATCGGTCATGTGAAATGATCAAGAGCCTATTTCCCTAACATCCGTTGGAATGTAGTCAACATTGTTGTTCCCCAATTTTTTTTGTGTTATAGGTAAATCAACACAATGTACCGATAATAATACTTACCGAGGCAATTTGTGACTACATTCAACAGACTTTCAATGAACGCAGATTAATGGGAAGTAAAATACTGGGTGAAATATTAAATTTATTAAAATACTTGTACAAGAACCTTATTTGATCATATTTACTTTTCAGCAAGTTTGACTACCGTACTCACCCTGTATGCTGAAATGGTGCTTCATAAAACGATGCAAAAGTCTGTTCGGTGGAAAACAACAAAGATCCCGCTAGAGATCCTGTCCCCGCTCCCGTCCGACATTTATCGAGTTTTTGATTTTAAAAAAACTTGTGTTGTTGATCTAAACCGTCATACATGTTAATGTGGGAAATGACGCAGTTTGGGTATAGCTTGCGGTCATGCTATTGCGGCATCACATCATTCGAACATCCATGAATTACCTAATATGGTTCAGATATATTACCGGGCTGATGTGTTTCAAACTCCCTACCAGACACAAACCATACACCCTCTTCCCCATCCATCAGAATGAGAAATACCAGACCCTTTGATTGCAGTTTTATTGCCAATGTAATTGCAATTAATTATGTTTGTAATTGATATGCAGTGTGTGACAAAAATATTATTATTGCCCTAATATTTGTTACATATTACAAAGATAGAAAAAATGTAATTTACAAATACCATATTAATACTAACAAACAAACAAACATTACATATTAAAAAGATTAATAAGCATTACAGAAGGGAAACTTGGTTGATGAACATAAAGGTTACAACTTGTACATAATGATTCCAAAAAAAAATCCAACTACAAATTAAAGTTATCTTTAAGTGCATATTTTGGGAAGTTTCTTCTTCGATCGAAATAAGTTACTGATTATCACTGAATTATTGTCTTTTGCTTTGTCAACCCAACAGATAAACCTAGACTGTGGTCCCTGAAAATTTAAAATCAAACACATGACGTATATTGTGTAAATTAATATTAGTTCAAAGAAGAATAATAAAAGGATAACCCACATACCTCTTTAGGACAAGCGTAAAAAACCCGTCCACGGTTATTTCTAGTCATTGATGTCCTTATAATGCCTTCAGAGCCACAATTGCAGTATTCCATTTCTTTGGATTATGAGAAATCAATTTTAATTATTAATGTTAAAAAGGTAAAGAGTTTTGATGCTTGAATTCCTTTATATAATGACATTTATTAGGGTTATGGATCCTGAGACTATTCTAGAAACACATTCCAGAGCCACATCCTGGAATTGATATTTCGGACCCTAATTTTAGAACAATAATTGTCCTAGATTCCTGACATATGAGTAGTCATTCCGAACAGTAAAAATCATAGATTCCTAACATACGTATACTTATTCGTAACAGTAATTGTCATAGATTCCTGACATTATTTCAGACCAGCTATAACAAGTCTTGCTTTAGATGATGTATGGTTATCCATGTAATGTATTCTTTCTAGAAGAATCACTTACTGCTTCTAGCCTTGCTATAAGGAGGAAGTTCAATCCAGACCATACTTGATTATTATACATGGATTACATCTCATGTTCATGACTCTAAGTAATTAATCAGATTCGAGATCTGACATAGCATATTGGTATTTGATGGATTTTCTAGAAACCATCAATAAAAGTTCATCAATGAGGGATTCCACATTTCTCAAGTCACAGATGATTTCTACCACTAATGCGCATAATTTGTGTTTATGAATAGTTATTATCCAAGTTTTACAATCCCTTGTTAAAATTAGTGCCAACTACTACTACATCAAGGAATGGTTCTTGAGCTGCTTCAAATTCCATGTACCTCCCACGTGCTTTGTCATTAGAAGCTTGCTTTCTGCTAACTCGGTTATCAGAGTAATAAGAAAAACTTATTATTGGTGGCTTTTCTTATAATAATCTAAGCCACATTTAGAGTATTATACAAATATGTATCTAATAGATTTTGGGTTTAAAAGCTTGAGTCCAATATAGGATTTAAATCCATAAAACATTTAATAAGATAGAGACGGAGCCCTTCCATACAAAATCTTATGAATAAAATGTTATATCTACTAGTTAGTTTGTGTTTGTAGTCAAGGTACAAATGATAGTGTTTTATGCGTTATCCCAAGGAAATAAAAGGAGGACATTTCTACCGATTAGAAAGAAAATCATACCAAGTAAGATTTAATTCATCCTTTATTATCACTAAGGTCTTAAATGGTTCTTACCGGTTTGTATCTCAACTTTATATTTGAAAACTTAAACAAAGGTTTCTCAATTATGTTGTACCATGTAAAATATAATTGAAACTACCATAGTTATTAATAAAGTTAATTTGGTATCTTGTGTTAAATCTTAGACATACATTAGAAAGGAAGTCATACACCATAGTGTATATTTCCTTAATAGTTGTTTTCTCTACTATTTAGTGAAAATATCATTAGGAATCTTTTATATATAGGGTAAATTACATGAGTGGTCCCTATGGTTTAGGGTAATTTGTGTGTTTGGTCCCTAACTTATTTTTTTTAACTCGGAAGGTCCTTACTATTTGTTTTTGTTACGTCCTTGGTCCATGTCTTACCTAAAAAGACTATTTTTGCCCTTGATATTTTAATTTATTTAAATAAACACTCCTCCAACCCCACCCCTCACCTTACCTTACATTTTCCACTATTTTTCCCTATTTAAATAATAGTATTCTTAGGTAAGACGGGGACCAAACGCGTAACAAAAACAAACAGTAGGGACCAAGCGCGTAACAAAAACAAATAGTAGGGACCTTCCGAGTTAAAAAAAATAAGTTAGGGACCAAGTGCGCAAATTACCCCAAACCATAGGGACCGTTCGTGTAATTTACTCTTATATATAAATAAGATTTACATATGTCAAATAAACTACATTATTTGTCTTCAATGATCCATTTCTTGAAGTTGGAATATGTGAATGTCATTTAAATAATAAAGATAACAATAAAGATGAGTTTGGTTTAAAACAAGTTTAAGTCAAAAATATTTTGCATGTATAACTTGTTATTTATAAAACATTAATATTTACTTTATAATTCTAATTAAGAGATCTAGTCTCATAAAAGAATTTTAATCATTTACGAATATGATGGTGATCGTTATGAAAAAACGATTTAAGTAAATAATCAATCATTCATAAATTAAACTGAGACATATATTTAGGCAAGATAACTTAAAACATACATTGTTCCAAAACAAACATTGTTTTATATTACAAGTACATAATGTTCCAAACATAATAAACTAGACTCCGAGAATGTAGTTCCAACTAATTGTGCTCAACTGATTACTCTTCAGTAAATATTTGCAAGCCATGTACAAATATTAGATTAACATTTAAATACAAGTACCTAATTATGAAAAGTATGAGTTCTATTTAGGAGATACTTGAAGTACTAGTCTCTTCCAGACTTTCTTTCCAGATAAGATGAGCAGATCCTCTCTTGCTTTGGTATCCTTTATCACAAAAGATTTCCGATCAAATTATCCAATTTGAAAAACATGTGTAATAGGCCTATAACTTGGTTATAGAAATTGTGAAGATACCACAACCATCAAAAGATAACACTAAGCGGTTAGGTAGCATTTATCACACTAGTGTATACAAGAGATGTGCGAGTGTTATAAAACTTCATTTTATTACTTATATATTTGGAGTTTGTATAAGTTATAAAAATCACCATTTTAAAACTTATATTTGAGTATTTCAAACTTTGATGTTATTAACGTTTTTATAAAA